TTAAATCATGAGTCAGTTGAAGCTAGACCACCATTGAAAACCCCGAAGCACTGGACGGCCGTTTCGTCTTAGTATGGGACTCCTCAGCAGTGCGCATCCACGAAGCCGTTACCAGTGGAGTTCAACCAGGTCTGTTGTGAGATATCAGCTCACTGAAGACAATGGTATATGGTGGCGCAACTTCGTGGATTGGTTGATGTTAGACATTAACACCGTTGGATGCCGGCTCAGTGGTCTAGTGGTTAAGTGCTCGCACGCAAAGCCAGTAGGCCCTGGGTTAGAATCCCGCGTGGTGCGGGATCGTGGATGCGCACTGCTGAGGAGTCCCATACTAGGACGAAACGGCCGTCCAGTGCTTCCAGGTTTTTAATGGTGGTCTAGCTTCAACTGACTCATGATTTAAATCTGTAAAAACATATATTTTCATCTATCAATGTTTAGATTATTTCAATGTGTAGATAGTCTGTTCAATACGCTTGTTCCATCACATCATTTCAGGAAGTTTTCAGAGTTCAAATTTCTAACTGTTTCATCTCTTTTTGATTCATCGTCTTTCTGGATTACTATTTTTGCTAACTGAAATAACCCATTGTATCATTAAATAAAATCAAATGAGGCTACGCAATAGTCGTTTTTGCACGTAAAGTTCGTAGATTGTTAATACCTCAGCAGTGCATAAAACATCGATTCGACTTCCTTTCGATCCAATTTCTTTGATTGTGTAGATTACTTTTAAAAAAAGACTCTTTTGGAGCGATTTGTCCACAGTTGATTAAGTGCTCATATATTGAAGTAGTAATTGTTCTACATTCTCCTTTTAAAAACCATGCCGGAGGCTGTTTGAAAACGTTAAGGTCGTTTCTGGTACACCAAAGTTCCAGAGCATAATGTAGCTTCATTAATAAATGAAACTCCATCAGTGATGATATCGTTCGACTATTGAACGGTCTCCATGAATTAAAGTAATTAAGATCTGACTATCAGGCTTAGTTCTCGACTGTCATATTAATCATGCAAAATGATACTAAAATATATTGTTTGATTGCTGAAACCTCTGGATACAGATGTGATACGCAGTTACAAAGCACTCCACTTTCAACTAGTAAGGTGTGGTTTAGAACCATACCATATTTAACTTAGTTTTGAAGCCGAGTAGTATATCTATTCCTTGAACAACACACATGACTCAATAAACTAGTATCTATATTCGCATTATGGTAATGAGTTAAGTTTTTTGATAAAGAAACTTGATATTATTGATTCCACTAATCATAATAAATCAATATTGATTCACTTTAATGTGAACTGACCTTTTATCAACCTTGAATAGATCATAAATAACCAGAAATTCAATGCATTTCAATGTTATTATGTTAATTAAATACATAGTGCACAATCAGATGGCATCATAAGCACTCAAATTTAGTGTAGTCCAAAGCTAATTGAATAAACCTGTACTTTATAATTGAGTTACACTGGTTGGAACTTGTTGGATGAAGTGACAAGTAAAGTCTGGTTCAAACAAACCTCGATAAGGAGACTGATAAAATTTGTAACAAAGGATTTAATAGAGTGTTGGAACTTCAAAAATTATTGCCGATACTTGAAACATGAAACCACTGTAATTTCTGTGATGCAAAGAAGAACACTAAAATTGATACAGATGATGATGTATATTACTCTCCAAAGCATGTCAGCTTTAACCCAAAAATACACTATTTTATGTATATTTAATGGTTAGTTAAACGCATATAGAGGAATACAACTCTAGTCGAATGTTGAAAAGTATACCTGTGTTCCAGAATCTGATTATGGGTGAATATTTGGTCTATACATCCACACCCGAACCTTGTTTTCTCGAGTTTACTCCTCACAGGCCCTAGTTAAGCAACGGAGTATCATTTAAGCTGATATTTTATATATTAAGTAGATTAAACTGACTGATCTTTGACTGTTACAAGATAATTTTTGTCCTTCTTTATAGGCTTGGATCAGCGGTCGAGACCAATAAGATGGGATTACGCTCAGCTACAAGGTTTCATTCAATCTAACTATTAAAACTGAACCACCATTCTTAAGGATTTCCACAGCTAATCCATTTGAACCTGCTGCTCTCTCTCTCGCTTCATATTGCCTTGTTTTTTCAACATAAGAATTAGAGAATTATTACAAATACACATGTTTCATATGATGCTCAACAAAGTTCACATCAAATACATTTAGGTAGTGGTCATTGAGTAATGAGACTGCTTCATGAAGTAAAATGAACAGCCGATGGGAATGGAATTAATTCAGTTTTTCATCGTAACAACGGATTAACGATATTTATACTTGTGCTGGACACACTAGCTCATTTATAACTATATGTATCATTGGTGTGTATAGGTCCATTTGATGTGTAGGTGGTGTGTATCTGCACATTACCAAGTACGATATCATCTTTACTTATGTATACGCTATGGGATTAATCGGCATTACGCCTACGTATATATGTTGTTTATGTAATGTATATTTGGTAATCCAAACGCATTGGGATTTCGTTACTAATTAAAGCATCTATTTTTATGTGTATACTTTGGAGTGTGTAAGTCTCAGGTTTGGATGCTTCTGGTGTGCATGTAACTTATACTTGCTAAAAAAAAGTAATGTTCATCTTGCTTTTTTAGTAGCAACAAACCTATGCACTCGGTCCTGGGGTTACTGGTTTTTCCACTGAAGCCGTATATCCTAGCCCGGGTGTTTGCTACATGAGTAATCGAAACAGTTATGCAGAAGAGCCAATCGGCTTCTTCGGAAGCCTAATCAACGTTCATGGTTGGAATGGGGAGTAATGAACAAAATTCACATAGTTCAAGCATGACCATGTTTGTATTCCATCCTAACGCCTCCCCCATTACCACATCGATACGTATTTGACTTTCTGTAGGAGTTCCATCTGGAAATTAGTTTCCCTTCTCCGTATCTATGGGTTTTGAAATGTAATAAGTGTACGATGAAAGTCTTCATTCTTGGCCCTTTTCATTTGAGTCTCTAACGTTTTTAGATATTGCGTTAGCATGATAAGTTTACAGGAAATTGATCTGCATCTTATAAATCGAAGAAAAACGTCTTACCAAATTAAATCTTTCATTCTTGTTGTTGATACTTTGTATATTTGTGTCTTTTATATGAAAAATTATCTCTTAAAGTACCAAAGACTATCAAAATGCCATGTATATATTATCTCCTTTAAATGAACAGAGCCATTATAACTTGTCTGATGAGTTGACTCGATATTAAAAACTTTCTTATCATCCATACTTTCTTCATCCTCTACCAATTAAACATCAGGCTTTAAGTTGATAATCCATCTAAATTTTTCTGTGACCTACAAGAAGAGAACAAGATAGTTCTTGATTTATACCTGACGAATGTTGCTTATTGATTTCCGGATTAGTAGACGGTTGTCTACTACAGACAAATATGTCACAATTGAACCGAACTTTATTTACTGAAACAATATGCACGTATTTAGACGGGACATTCATTTTATCCGAATAATTAATACCAGGTTCATTGGGCAATTGTGATGAATACTGAGAACTGACGACCGTCAAACACTTATCCAAAGACACTGAGAGCTTTATGAAAATTGAAATCGTTGGCAAAATGAAACTGGTATAATTTTTATCTTCACTTGACCTCAACCCAGCGAGGTGAGTAGGGACTTTTGAACAAACGGCCGATTCGGTCAATTAAATCATAAATAAATCTTCATTTCTGACCCTCACCCTAAATTCCAGAGTGAAGATGAACCTGACGAATAACTTGATGTTGTATCCACATTTCTTTTAATATTTCCGACTGAAAAATGAGGAAACTTTGCGGAGAATTTCTCGGCAGACTCCTGCAGTTAATGATCAAACTCCTTTTGAAGTAGGTCAAGTAAGTTACACTGCATCATTTAATTGGAATATTTTCAACTTAACCCGTCGCCACTGTTGCAATAGCGAGAACTATTGCCATACTTGAAATCGAGAAATCACTGCAATTTCCACGAATCGAAAATTGGCGCAAATCAAGATCTTATTAACCTTCCCAAAACACAACGGTGGGTGTCGTAACAACAGATAACTGGTACTGACTACCTGAACCCATGAACCACACGACGTAAGAACATAATGATAGATGAAGATTTATTTGACATTCAGAACTGTTTAAAGTACAGTGAATTTTTTGTCCTTAAAACTGGCGAATAGTCAGATTTGAATAAATTAAATTGAGTAGTACTTGGGATTGATAATTTGCCGAAAAAACAGATTTAAGGTATCATAAAACTAACGGTCTATAACTAGCAGACACAACTAATATGATTACTCCTTCTTAAAATGTAATTATGTATTTTAGACGATCGAAGAAAGAAATCAACTTCTTAGGTTACTGACACCTCAGTAAATTAAATCCTTGCTTACATTCAAATGTGGAAATCAGCTAAATACTATGACAATGCATTAATATATAGTATGTAAGTCGCCAAATTGCTGGTGTAATAGACCAAAAAGTAATGCATAGACGCCAACGACTACTTCGCATTTGGGAATCTCATAACACTTGACTTAATAAACTAAATAGATCTGAAGATAGAGAGCAAGTATGTTAACTCAAGAATTTGTTATCTGACGTATGGAATACACTAGTGAAAGTTTTGGTTAAAGCAATAAGTTTCTGAACATTTAGCTTTGGATTCAAATCCCATTTCACCAATGTCATCTTCCAGTAGTCGGGCAAGTTTATCAGCAGTTATACCTGATATGAGTAACAATAAATAAGTGAATACGGAGCAGCAAGTTTGTGGATAGCAAGATATACAGCGTAGAATAGAACTACAGGCTAAAGGTCATAATTTATTTGTGACAAATAGTTGTCCTATCCTCAACCATCTAAGTAACTCTATACATACAAATAAATTAACTGTTTAAATGTAGAGTATCAAAGTGGGAATTTCTACAAAGGACAACATATGCTCATGTATATGTATATTTAGTTATATTCCATTTTAAATAATAAGTTATAACACACATTTAGGGAACAATTCACAACTTTTACTGATGATAATCATTCTCCAAATTTATATGCTGATTGATTGAATAAAAATAGGATATTGAAAGGTAATACAAAAACCAACACAACAATCGAATAGACATAAAACTGATACAAACACAAATACTTGCGTTGAGGAGTAGGCAATGCAGGAAACACACGTATGATCAGCTGAAGAGGAAAACAAGGTAAAAGCGGAACTGTTGCAATAGTAAAAGAGGCAAAGAGGAAAGGAGCATGGATAGGCATGAAATAGCGAGCAAGAATTTGACTATAGTCGGCTGTATCATCAAAAAAACAAAGAAGTGGAAACAAGAGGTAATTGAAACACTATCTATCTGGCTAGCAAGAAATACGCAAAAAAGCAACGGACACGCTTCAAAATTCAACTGAAATTATATCAGATACAATAGGCAGATTAAACAATAAACCAAGATAATATACACATAAATGATGCAATTCATAGTAATAATAAGTGTTAGTAATAACTGTTTTTGTGTGAGTTGTAGTGCTTTATTGTCTATTTCATCAGCTCCAAACATACAAACTTGGTAAGTAACAATCCATATATGCCAAACAGAAGCACAATCATACAATTATATGTATATAGATTAAGGAGCCTAATGACAGTTTGAGAGGATGTGAAGAGATTCTCACATAATGTGGGTAGTGGAGGTAAACAAATAATCCAAGTGTAATACACAAGTTATTATGGCATTATATAACCTTCATCCGCACGTTCACCTGGTGCATAAGCTCCTGAAAATCCAATATGTGGATCTGCTGACTCAGCTGGCATATGTCCTGGAGCTGATTGAGCAAATGTAGGCGGACCACGTGTTGCATGTGTAGTCATTACACCAGTCATTGTGATAATGAAGCCATTACCTCTGCGTTCACATCGGAATCGAGTGGCTAATTCTGTGATGTAAACCGCAAGAGCGATTGCTGAAAATACCTATATACATATGCAAATTGCAGAGGGTTTTTTCGGAAAAATGAAAGAATAAAAATTGATGAGTAAGACTGAAAATAATGAGATCAATATTAGGAGTGTACTACTATGTTTACTGTATTGAATAATTACCAACCTCATTTTCTATATGAAGCCGTTGATATAACCTAAATAAAATTGCACATTCTTTTATTCAATAATTTTGGTATACAAAATAGACATTAATTTTATCTATATCAACGGGAATTAGCAAACTCATTAACTAGTACGTGCTGTTTGAAGTAGTTGTGAAGATATTGGTAACTGAAAATGATGATCTTTGTATGTTTGACTTTTACAAAAGATGTTCAATAAATAATACAGTGAGATGAATCGAATTACTGCTGTTAAACCCAAACGGTAAATAAATCCTACTAGCTCGTTAGTTAGATAGTGCATTAGGTATTGCTAACATCAAATAATGGTAACAAAAAACGAAAATGGTTATTGTAAAACATATTCTGATGACATCTAATCATCTAAATCCGAATCATACTCAAAATAAGTGGTGTTGAGATCAGGCGCGGTAGTGAGACATCAGTGTAGAACCTAAGACGAATGTGCATCGACCCAAGTTGTCATACCTTACAACCGCATAATGAAAGAAGAGATTAAAAGATGAGAAGCAAAGGAATGGAAATTATATTAAATATAATAGGAATCTAAACAAAATATGGACCAAACGGAACAAATAATACCGATAAATGAAAAGTTACAAGTACCAGGTAACGATGTTAGATCGACTGAAATCATGTTACCTTTATCAGCTAAAGGAATGGGATTATGGCCAACGAGCTTGAACGAGCAATGACTTCATTGAGTGATGTCATATCATAGTTGGGTCGGCTCTAATTTTCCTCTACCCAGGTCCTACAACAGTAAACCTTGTCTATCGGGGGAAGCGGTGATTAGGAATACGTAACACATGCCCTAATCACCTCAACCGAGAAAGATTCACAACCCCATCTACCGATTTGCTATCTATACAAGGTACCCTATGTCTATCCTCAACATTGGTCACTCAGTCATTCAAAGAAAAGTGAGCAGTGATCAAAAACCCATTCTCAAGAACCATGTTTCATAGCCACGAAGTAACATAGAGTGGACTGATGAGCAGTATATATGTCCCTTAGTTGATTTAATCAGTGAAATGGGAACAACCCATTGCTGGACAAATGAGTAAGTTACACTATCCTCATTATTATTAAGTTAAATAAAAAACAGTACCACTTACAGCCGCAGCTATAGCACCAGAACCTTTCGAGTGATGAGCCGCTGCAACGATCAACGTTATAAACCAAAAGAAGGTGCATATCAGTAGCACAGAAAACTCCTTTTCATTATTTTTCGTTTATTTGTAAAAACAAGAAACAATAAAGAACATAACGATTAGGACTGTGTAACATGTATGACATGAAAGATGAACAGATTAGCTCTTTCTCATACACATTATCAATATGATCGAAAGTGAACAACTTTGACATTTAACATCTAACAGACAGTAATTGTTTAGAAAATAGATTTGTCAAGAACTGAAGTTAGATGGGAAAACATTAAAGAACTGTTGTTTTTCTTGCTTATGACTTGACGGGCTGTTATGTCCCATAGAAAGTATTTAAAAAGCCAATGATTTACATCTCAAATTTTATTCAATTCACGGCAATTACTCATTACAATAATCTAATGTTGTCAGTAGAAGCAGTTTCACTCCCAATGTAGTTTAAATCAACCAATTGTAAAGGCTAATTAAGATGATTCATTGGTTGATAAATATGGATAACTCGGAATGTTTTAGAAGAATGTCACTTTTCTACCAACTTGTCAACTGGATAGGATTATGAATAATCAAAAGGAAAAGACATGGAAAATGATAATAATGAGCTGTAAGATAGTGATGTAGCATTTTTTATTTGAACACAAACATTGGTACAAGGGGGCCACGCAATAACAATTGCGTTAGTAGTGGTTGGAATACTGTCCGGGTGTCCAAGACGAAGCAGGTGGTTTTTCTTAGGGAACCACATCTCGAGCCTTTGACCTGAAGGCCTAATCCACAAGGTAATGGAGCAACGTTAGGAGACTTGGTCGCATGGTTGCCAGTGACCAGATTCATACACCTTTTGTTCCCTTAAGATCGTGGAGCCTATGTACACCACTGGTTTTAAATCAGGGTTTTCTAACTCCCTTAGGTGGACCTTCTGTGTTCATTAACCTGGTTAGAACGTCGGACATTCGCTTTCTGTCCTCTCAATTTCGTAGACAACATCCCCACCGCGAGAAGGTAGTGAATAAGACTTTGATGGAAGTGGCTGTATACGAGTGGCCATGTGAGAGCATTTCGAGAGGGAGAGTGGACTTTCCCCACCCTCAGCCATACCAGGGCATGCAACTATGTGGGCATGTTTTAGTTTACTATATATATGAATTAAATCAATGCAACAGCGACTGAAATACTAAGTAGGTTGAAATAATTTATCCCTGGAAATACTTCAGTACATTATACTACTAGAGAATAATACCTAACAGTTCTTATCTTAGCTTCTTACTTATGTTTTGCCACCAGTAATTCAGCTAGTATAGTGTTTAATGTTCTAGACATATGTATTAATGAGTCATGCGTTTAAGGACTGTTGCATTTTTTCTTTCAAGTTTACATATTATATTTTTCAAACCGTAGTATATAAATGTGGAGTTTATCAATGAGATCAGAAAAACCGATAAATGACTTTCTCGATGTTTAATTAAAAAAACAAATTAACTGGCATAATCATCAATGTGCCACAATTATATGAAATGTTATGGCTTAAATTACATATTTATTCTAGATATTTTGATAGTGATTATTGAGAATGTAATTCTCTATCACTTATTAAGAACTGGTACTTTTACAGTATTTATTGTGTCAGCGTTTCATGCATGTACAAAGGGAAAGCAAAAGTGAGAGCAGTATGTACTGAAATGGTATCGATTTTACTACAATATACTTTCGCACACTATAATGTACGTTTTTCTCCGAAAATAACTTTCCACATAACAAATCTTCAGAAAATCGAGAAAAAAGATTATAATAGGAATATTTTTTGTATGAATGGAAGTAATGTGCTATAAACTCAGTATCATGAAAGTTGGGAAATGATGTGAGACTGGGTATCAGTTATATGTATTAAGTTGTTGATCCTATCAAGAATTAGAATTTTCTAGGGCGTTAGAAGCATCTAACGAGCCAAGTACGAAAGTGATTAATGATAGTTTAGATGTTTAAACAAGGATATAGGATTTTAAAGTAATCGATAAAAGTGTTAAACTCAAGCGGTGTCTATTCGTTCAGTTTGCTATCACTAACCTTCCTATTTATATGGTGAAACAGAGCTACGACCTCAGATATTTGTGGACCCATCAGTCCGTAAATGAAACACTAGATTTTCAATTACTGGTAAGCAGATTTGAACTTCACTAAACCTACTTCAAGTTGGGTAGCCCAGTAATATAGTTGACCTTTGTGTTTGAGATTTGACTCAAAAATGAGCACATAAACTTTAGCTAGCTAAATTAATAAGAGATAACATACTGAACCTAAGAGTGGTAAAAATGGTTTTCCTTTGCATACTATGAAATAATTACCAAGAAGACAATAAAAATCCGTAAGACAATGATTGTGAGGAATTAAAGTATGCCTGGAAATATATTTACGATGTTCGATTGTAGTACCGATAAACAGCAGCATTAAACTGATGAGAATTGACACTAACAAGGGACCAAAGTTAAAGATTTCCAATGGTGATCTAAACAAGTTGTAAGTTCTGAAGTTATAGACGAAATATCAGTGGCCCACACCGTCAAATATATGGAGAAGTTTAAAACATATTTTAGGTAGTAATGTTTACTAATCAACCAAATTTCAACTTCTAAGTCAGGAACAGTTTATTTATCGAGTATGTCTGTTTGCAAAAAATGGAACAGTATTTAAATAAACAGTAAAAACATATGCTTACAATTATAATCCACGGACCTGGCAATTTCCTGATAAGATTGAATAGATAAAATATGTAGAAAACTGATGCACATATCAAAGTGGTAGCTGCAACGAAATTTACCCATCCACCGGACGAGTGTATTGACCAGTATGAAGTAGCAGCGACACAAATGAGTACAATACAACTCAGTAGAATCTATGCAAAGATATATTAACACTATCGTGAACAAAAGTGAATTGTTGTTGACTTGATGTAAGGGAAACAGAAAAACTGCCTTTGGTAAAACTGATGTAACATATGAAAATACATCGTGTTGGGAGCAAACTCATCTACCCAAATTTCAAAAAAGGTTTTCAAATAGAAATTTCCGAGTCTTTAGACTAAAAACATGGATTTAAGTCAGACCCCCTAGAAGCTGTATTCTTTAATGGTTAGTCGTCAGGGTCGAACCAAGTTACTCTACATATAACCACGCGCTTTTACTGTTATCAGTAGAATGGCAAATAAGCTGTTCAGTGTTTAGATATGAGTGGCTGAGAAAACTCAGTGTGTCAGTTTGCAATGTTGCTAGCCCCGTCATGAGAGTGAAAGTGTATCCAAAGACGGCAAGAAAAGCTTGCTTTCATGCTGTCCTTCCAGAGTTTAGAGGTATCGTCGAATTTAAAAACGTGATCGTTATTTTTCAAGTAATGTTCATACCTAGTGGTAAAAGTGTGTAGGCTTAATGTCCGACAACATGTCTGAACACAGTGAGTCCTACCAAATCGAAACACTCCTCGGTGGTTCGGACACACTTCAAATTTCATGTGAAATACTGACTGAAGCTAGAAATAGGTAGGAAGAAACCAGAAGGGTGGTCATTTCATAGAAGATAGCTGAATGAAACTGGCATCTATCGATTTCCTGAACATCGTGAAACTAAGTGGCTTCAGATACCATTAGGCATGCATTTGAAGCGTTAGCCAGTGTTACTAACGACAATACATAGGTCACAGCCGTTGCTAAATGGTGAGTTGACCTATGACTATTTCGTGAAGCATTCAATTAGTAGGCTGAATCTGTATAAAAAAGGACATATCAACTTCGTTATAAGGACACAAAATAAAGAAATAGAACCATGATTGCGCTGACACGATACTTCTATCATGGTCTAAAAACCCTTATATATATTACACGGAAAAAATGTGAGGTTGCTCAAGTATTCACTGAAGTAGGATACTTTTCAATACGCCGAATTCGGTTAATTAAAGCATGTTAACATGCTTTACATTGAACTCACTTGACAAAGCTTCAATATTCCACTTAAACTCCGTACGAAACCAACGTTGATGACTGACGAAACGTCTGTTGTTTCGTACCTAGTTTCATATGTAGTCTCATATGCTGCCGGGGCACGATCCATGCCCTTTGTCCTTGGTAGAAATTTCTGGAGTCAAAACGACCGCCAATTATCGAACCTTGAAAAGTACAAAAAGGTCAGGAGATTTAGGCGAATTTTGAAATACTCTTTCATGTTCACTAATAGAAAATACCAATGTTAGTCATTTTCGAAAAATTACAATTCAAATCACAGACAGCAGCTGAACTGACATAAATTTCTATGAATACAAACGACTTTGTAAAAGCGAATCCTGTAACATAAACACATATCAGGATATACTTAAGAACACCTTTTTGATTATATTGACCAGGAATCACCTTTTCGTTACTTAAAAACTTTTAAATACTTGCCTTTGGCTTGAATAAAGTGGATGTAATCTCATGAAACATATGTAATTATGCAGGGATCCAAGTCGCTCAAAGACAAACTCATAAAGGCGTCATGAATTAGGTTGAGGATGATACAGGTATTCAGTGTTTGACAACGCTTCCATCAGTAACACCTTCTAATATGCTTTGTTCTCACCGAGAGAAATCAAAAGACAGAGTCGAGGAGATCGGAAGAGTGTATTTGGCGATAACCAATATATCGGGAATCTCTGATCTAATCTGGCTAGTGATTGCGGTTGATGTTGAGCACAGCGTGACAGCACGTGATCTGGTGCGGATGCATGACCGAGCGCCTTCAGCTAGATGAGTCCACTAAAACATATGGTCAGCATCCAATGTCGAAAACCTATTGAGCTATTTAGTTTGGGGATTTATTTACCGCTACAGATCACTCCCCCCCTAGTGGGGCAGTGATGACCCTAAGACGTGGCCAGCCAGAAGTTTAAACCCAACGAGTTTGTCGTTGGTAAACACTCTTCTGATAGCTTACTAAATTTAGCAGCGTCTGGTCGTCTTTCCTTACTATATGGGGCCGGAGGTACATCATAGTAAAAAAAGAAAATGTACAATGAAAAATTTCGGATCCTCATAAACGTCATCGTTCTTTTCCAGCCGTCCTGGAAAAGAAGAAAGAAAATGTAAGTGCATGTCGAAAATACACTCATATGTGCGTAAAAAAGGAAAAATAAACTCATGAACACGTAACAGCAATAAAAAAAAAATCGATTTTTTTTGAAATAGAAATGAAAATATATAAGCCTATTAAAAAAAATTTAGTTTTTAATAATATAGAAAATGTCGAGAAGTACCTTACGTGCAATAGTCGTTTAAATGTTCTGGAAATCTCACTCTTCTTCTAGAACGCGTCGTTTTAAGTTTATATTCGGATACTGTCGAAGTATCATCATGTGTGTTGGTTGTCGGATGAGGTATTATAAGTGTCGGAGTCGTGTCGTTCAATTGTACCGAAGAAAAATCCACGTAGATAGGATTTCCTTCTAAATACGCTGCTTTGAGGCGATCGATGCTGATGATATCATTGGTTCCGTTCCTATCGATTATATAGTACTTCGGTTCGCGTTGAAGAACTATGAAAGGTCCTTCGTATGCCGATTAAAAGGTCGTCGATGCGAGTCTCGACGAACGAAAACGTGTGTACTATATCGTAAGTCAGGTTGAACGAATACATCAGTTGATTGTGGTCAAGTGGAAGCAGGTTTAATTGAATGTATTGCGTTTGTAAGCCTGTTCGTGTAGAAGGTTAGATCCATATTCATTGAACAGTATGAAAGATCCACGAATTCTCCTGGAAGTTAAAGTGTCGTTCCATAAACGAGTTGAGTCGCAGTGTACTCAATGTCAACTTTCATTGCATTGTGAATACCTAGTAAGACGAGTGGAAGAGCGTCGGTCCACTGTGAAACGTTTGCAGCTGATAGTGAAGCTTTTAGTTGTCGGTGAAAACGTTCTACCAACCCGTTTGCTTGTGGGTGGTAGGCGGTCGTTCGGAAGCGAGTGCTTCCTAATAGTGTGGTCAGACGACGGAAAAGTTCAGACTCAAACTGACGTCCGCGGTCTGTAGTGATGGTTGAAGGGCAACCGAAGTTTGCTACCCATCGTTCGACGAAGGTTCGGGCCACTGTTTCAGCAGTGATGTCCTTGATAGGTACTGCTTCTGGCCATCGGGTGAAACGATCTACACAGGTTAAGAGGTAAGAGTATCCATTTGAATCTGGTAAAGATCCTACCAAATCCAGATGAACATGGTCGAAACGAGCGTCGGGAGTTTTAAATGAGCCCAAGGGACATTTATTGTGTCTGATGACCTTAGATTGTTGGCATCTTACACAGGAGCGTGCCCACTCCCTCACGTCTTTATTCATACCAGGCCAGCAAAAGCGTTCTGCTATAAGCTTGATTGTTGCACGAACACCTGGATGAGAAAGTTTGTGCAATGTGTTGAAGACATTGCGTCGATAATGTTTCGGAACGATTGGGCGATCCATATCTGTAGATGTGTCACAAAGTAAGGTTTCCTTACCTGTTCCCATCTGTTTGATGCGTAGTTTAAGGGTTGTGGACGATAACTCTTGCTGAAGATCAGTGTCTTCTTTTTGAAGCTGGGCGAGTTTAAGAAGGTCGATTCCTTGGAAACTGTTCAAGGAATTTATTCGAGACAAGGCGTCTGCAACTACATTGTTTGCTCCAGAAATATGTTGAATATCTGAAGTAAACTGCGAAATGTAGTTCAGTTGTCGAGACTCACGGGGAGAGTACTTGTCTGAAGTAGAGCTTAGAGAGAAGGTGAGTGGTTTATGGTCAGTGAAAAGAGTGAATTCAAGACCTTCGATGTAGTGTTGAAAATGTCGTACAGCACAATACATAGCTAGAAGTTCCCTACCGAATGTGCTGTGTCTCGATTCGGTGTCTAGAAACCGCCTAGAGAAAAATGTCAATGGTTGCCAGGAGTTGTTAACCCATTGTTCTAAGACTCCTCCGATTGCTGAGTGTGATGCGTCTACTGAGATACTAATGGATGCTTCGGTGTTCTGATGAGCAAGCATTGTTGCTTTAACGATAAGTTCCTTAACTGTGGACAATGCTTTTCGCGCGGCGTCGTCAAAATTGATGGATTTTGCATTTCCACGAAGTTGGTCAGTAAGAGGTTTCATAAGTAATGCGCATTTCGGTATGAAGCGTCTATAGAAACTTACCAGGCCGTTAAACGTGCGTAATTGCTTGACGTTGGTCGGTTCTGGGTAATCCAGAATGGCCGCCACTTTGGTCCTAAGGGGTCGAATGCCTTGAGCATCGATAGTGTGTCCTAGGAAATCTAACGAGTCGGTTCCGAATTGGCATTTCTGAACGTTTACAGTAATGCCATGTTTTTGTAATCGTTCGAAAACAAGATCCAGATGCTTGAGATGTGATTCTCTGTCCGGACTTGCGATTAAGCAGTCATCAACATACGCATGTACGAAGTTGAGACCTCGAAAGACGTCGTCAATGAATCTTTGGAATGTTTGCGCAGCGTTTCTTAGACCGAACGGCATTCTCAAAAATTCATAGAGTCCGAAACGAGTTATGATAGCTGTTTTCGGTATGTCGTTAGTAGCCATAGGGATTTGGTTATACACTTTAACCAAGTCGATTTTCGAAAAGACAGTTGTACCTTTGAGGGTAGCTGTCAAAAAGGGAATGTGAGGCAACGGGTAACGATCAGGAATGGTTTTTGCATTCAATCGCCGATAGTCACCAGTTGGACGCCAATCGTTGCTGTCCTTTTTAGGGACCATGTGCAACGGAGATGCATAAGGGCTGTTTGACGGTCGTATGATTCCTAAGTCTATCATGTGATCGAATTCGTTTTTCGCTAACGTCAGCTTTTCCGGAGCTAGTCGTCGTGCTTTAGAGAATACAGGTGGTCCTGTAGTCGTGATGTGATGTGTAACATTGTAACAGCATAGGTTGGTTGGTTAAGAGTTGACCCCAAACAACCAAGCATATGCCAAAACAGTATTGTTCAAGTATTCATTCACTTCCTTATTTTGTATAAGCGTTATATTCCTTATTATCTTATATTGAATGCTGAAAGCCTTTGTTTGTCTGAACAGATAATCCCACGCTCCACTGTGACTGCGCTAAGATCGAAATAAAGACGTACTCACAACTTCTCGGGTTTCTTCTATCAATAGTACGAGGGTTACCTATAGGCACGAAACTGGTGAGCCCTTTTTGAACACAAATTAACCTCATTTTTGTTATTAATATTATTTTTTTTACTCAATCGTAAAAGTAGACCTGATAATCCGTAAACTAAGTTGGGTATATAAATAGTTTATTTTTTTTATTATCTTAAGTTATTCGTGTCATAGAAACCATTTTTTTCGTGCTAATTTTGTTGCTATATTTGTCACATACCTCATGTCAGACTTAAAAGAAACCCATAATCTGGAGGATTTGTCACCAGTGGAGATAGACACTGTTATGACTACGAAATCTCGACTTCCAGAATTCGATCGTAGTGATCCTGAGTTGTGGTTTGCTCAACTCGAGCATTATTTCACGAGACACAATATCAAATCTGAAGGGATTCGCTATAGAGATTTGTGTTCTATCCTTCCTCCTTCAGTCGCCAAAGAAGTCCGTGACTTGATTTTAGATCCACCATCACCACAACCGTACACCGTCTTAAGACGAGAGATAATGAACCGTTTATCATTATCAGATAGTCAAAGAATCCAAAGACTTTTTCAAGGTGAAACACTAGGTGATCGGTCGCCGTCACAGTTTCTACGTCACCTCCAAGTCTTAGTGGGTGATAACACAGTGGGTGAAGCAGTCCTAAAACAAGGATGGATACAAGCTCTCCCATGCTACGTCCAACATTGTTTGGATGCACAAGATCCTGAAACCTCATTATCTCATTTAGCGCGTACAGCTGATAGAATAATGGAAAGAGGTCCTCCAACTGGATCAGGCACAATAAATCACACACAGAAAGTAGAATCAGCAAAAGACCCCGTCATAGAAGGACTCATTGCGAGTGTTAAGAGTCTCACTGAGGCTGTCACCAGAATGCAAATGGGTCATACAAACAGGAACAGGTCACCACAACGATCACGATCCAAGTCACAAAATAGGTCACAAATGTCCAGACAATCTGGGCAGTTTTGTTGGTACCACTGGAAGTTTGGTGTCAACTCAACCAAGTGCAGGCAACCATGCGCCTGGCCTAAGCATAATTCCAAGACAGCGGGAAACGAGTAACCCCTCCCCAGGTCGCGACAACTGAGGAGGGGC